CTCAGGCCAGCTAAACAAGTGCCCCCCAGCAGACTTACTTTTGCTATTTCATTTTGAGACAGGGTTTTGCTACATTCCCTGGGCTGAGTCTGAACCTGTGAATCTCTTGCCTCATGCTTCCGACTTGTTGGGATCGCAGGAGTGCACCGCCGTGCCTGGCTTAAGGCTATCTTTAAGTGACGGAACACAAGGCATGGTGTGGAGTGGATATTCCAAAAAATCTGCCGAAGGCATGAATGAATGCATCTATTTTTACATTCTAGAAGGCTAAAAATGTGTAAACTGGCAAAAAAATGGGAGATTCAGCTAATGTTTGCTAATAGATTAGATTCAAATCCTTTAAGATGCATTTCTATGACATGTTTACACGTGTATTTACGGGAATATGTATTCAGAGGCAGATGGGTATATAATTTGTGCTTCAATGCGTGTGTGTACACATATAATGGAAAATACAATCAATAGATATGCAACACACATGGATCTAGTAGATAAGCATCTGCGTTGGGCATAGACACAGATATGTATCTGTGTCCACGATTATCTAAGCACACCACACATACAAGCAGATGCATGTCATTTGTTTGCGTACATAAGGATATGTGTTTCTCTGTGCATTTACGCACTTCATGCAGGTGATATTTGGAGAATTTAAGGAACATGTATATCTGCGTGCACATATGTGGTGTGTGTTTCCACACATGTGCAACCATCAAGTGTGTAAAGTGCATGCATTTCCGCGAATACATGCTTCTGTGTGGAATATGGTGGAGTGTTTTCCTGCATAATGCGTTGACCCTGGGCAGGCACACATACACACATCCATAGCTACACATGTGTACAGAAGCACCCACCTACATGTACATATTTGTATGATTTGTGTGTGTGTGTGTGTACATTTAATAAACATTCCAAGTTTACACATTTAAACTGCACATGTACCTGCCTCTGTGTGGAGCATGTGTACACCACGCACCTTCTTGTACATGTTTCACCTTATTGAGGTATCACTTGTGAGCACAGCAAATTGAGCCAGCATCTCATGAACTATATTTAGAGATACTAGCACTACAGGGGGCTTCACAGCATTTATGAAGTAAAATGCAAATACGGTGGATCGCCCGTTATGACCAACCTGACATACAAACAACCTGGGATTTTATTTTTAAAACCAGAATTTTATATTTAATTTAAGACCAAAGTCTTGAGTTATGGGCCAAATGCCAGCTGCGTGTGCTTCCACATGGTCTCAGACGCAGACTGAACCACTACAGAGCTCTGGAAGCAACAGGACAGCGTCCTCTCCTGTGTGGGGTTCACTGAGAACCCCGGGCCAGCGTCTCTCTAAGGACCCTGAGATCTGCTGTGTGCAGGAGAGAGACGCTGAAGGCCGGGCGGAGGAGCCGAGCCTGCGCTGGCCGACTAGAGTTACAAACAAACCTCTGAAAGGGACTGAGTTCATAAATCAAGGGTCGAATGCATATATTTTATGTCTATATCTTCATGTATACACATATGCATAATATGCAGATGGTGTCAACCTATGCTATAGCAGATATCTATGGTATCTGTGTGTGTAAATATGTATATCCATGCTTGCATCCGTATGTCATGTATACGGTGCATGTGTATGTATGGTGTATGTGTGTGATGTAATGTATATGCACAGTGTCTGTGTGTGTATGGGTACACACACATGCATCTTCACATGCACACATTTTTCCAAAACCACCACCAGTACCGTCACACAGAGGTGAAATACAGTACTACAACACTTTGTTTCTTTCTGCGGCACTTGGCTGGGGATTTTACCTCTCAGTCCTTGCAAAGCTTGACTGCACGCACTCCTGAGGGAGAGGCTGCTCTCTGAGGGGCCCTAAGTGGTTCAGAGTGGAGCTCTCCTCCCTTCTGGCTCTGGGTGTCCAGCTGCCTACATCCCCTTTTATCCCATGCCAGTTGGGCAGGGATGTGCCCCTCTGCCGGTCGAGTAAAATGTGGGTGGCAGGACCCCTCGGAGGACTCGAGAATGGACGTGCCCACAGTAGGACCGAGGCACCCACATCCTGAGAGAGGTCAGTGGGGATGCTTGGTGTCCCTTAAAGATGTGCTCACAGCGTGCTTTCTGCTGGGCAGCTTTATAGCACTCGCCTGTCAGGCAGGACTCAAAGCGCTGCCAGAATGGGCAGTGGTGGAAGGAAAGAAAGGAAACCTTCTAACACAGGCAGGACCTGGCCTGCCCAAGGAAGCCAAGGGCAGCTACCTCAAAGGCAGAGCAAAACACTGTGCACCAAGCCAAACCAAATCACTCATCTCCCCCCACTTGAGTTCACCCCTTTATAGTCTTAATGTCAAAAGCACTGTTGCTCTCTACCAGAGAGAAAGGGCTACCAGGATGATAAAACGACAACAAAACAAACAACATGCACCACCTACAAAGAAAGAATGGACACATAATTATTTGCACAAAGCATTAGAAAATACTGTGATATTTTATTATTAAAAATGCTGCTGAAAAGTTTATACATATGTGTCCAGCCATATATATCTTCTATCATTACTTAAGGCAAAATCAAAAAACAAAATTGCAAAATAATAACCCAATGAACCATTAAACCCTGCGTGCCTTTGAAGATCGAGAATAAAAGCCTAAGAAAGTATTTTTTTTCTTGTTTTTTTTCTCCTTTTTTTCTTTTTTCTCTTTTTTATAGATAGCAAGTATATCCTTTTTTTTTTAATCTCATAGAACTCTAGGAAGATTCTATAACCTCTTTCCATGTAGAAATAAGATATCCTTTACGATGTATTAAATTGCTTTTGCTCATAATCCTCTGTAAAAGCTAAAATTATTCACTAAACATGAACTCTGTGTCCTTATCCAAACGTCACGAGGCGGACGGACGCATGAGGGTACACACTGCTAGCAGAAGACGAAACAGATACTGGAATTCGTGTTACAAACATACAGAGCCAGCAGCGATGGGAAAGCCATCCAGTCCCTTCGCAGGTCTCCTGTTTGCTCTAAGCCTCCGGGGGATGGAACATAGCTTGCAGGAAATGGCTTGGAAAATTGCTTTAGAAGAGAATGATGAATTGGGGCCAACACATTCGCTCCATGACATGTCCCGGTCAGGAAAGGACTGTTGGTTCTTCGAGCGTCCTAAGTCGGGGTCACTACATGCCACAAGCTTATATATACAGAGAGGAACTCTTGAAATGGAACCCACATATGCAGCAGGATTGATTGCATGATATATATATATATATATTTTTTTTGTATTTCTGAAAACTCTTTTTAATTTTTTTTTTTGGGGGGACAGCTAGAGATCACACACTTTTAGCTACCACTACCGTTTTAGTGCAGGAAATTTCAAAAGTGAAAAGCTGTTGCTGTGGGGAAATGGAAGCAGCTGGACCACATTCATGCAAAAAACCTACCTGGACCGTGGTATCTAAGTCTGGATTTCTACAGCACTTCAAATCCAGACCAGTCCTCACTCCACGTTCAAACATCTTTGGCTACTGTTTCTTGGCGATGAAATCATATTTGAAGGGCAAGAAAGAAACGTAACCATGACTCTCCTGTTTCATTCCACCTTGCAACCCCCAAGACATCCCTTAGAGGAAAAATAACGATAGTAGTAGTGGAAGAAAAGGAGCCATGACAAGGGACCAATCTGAAGGTGGCAAATTCAAAGTGGGTGAATAATTTCTATTGATTTCCTTGACAGTGCAGCTCTCTGAATTACCCAGAGGACCCATTCAAAGAATTCCTCATACGGTGTCATTTGGGGATTTTTTTTTTTCCTTCTTTTCTGGGCTGTTCATTAATGGTGATTGCTACACAAATGTGCAAAAAGTGCTGTTTTTCAGACAAGCATATGTTTTATCCCATAAATGATAGGGAGATTTTTTGGAGGTGTGTGTGGGGGGCTTGGTTGCTTGTAAATAAGAGACACACTGCTTAAACAAAAAGCAAAGCTCCCTAGAGCTGATTATTTACGCTAAGCAGGTAGCCCCAAAGCCACAGCCCCTGCAGCTGTAGTGAAACACAAAGCCGTATTGACTAGGGGAGGCACAATCCTTCCAAAGACAAGCTTTCTCTCCCTTTTGGCAACATCCTAGGATGGGAAGGAACTCTTGCTAAATATATTCAAAGGGTCAGGATTACAGAATGAGACTTGTATTACGGTGTGTTTGGGTTTTTTTGTTCTCTCTCTCTCTCTCTCTCTCCCTCTCCTGTCTCCTCGCTGGCTGTCTGTATGTGTCCCTGAATTCGACATATGCCTCGATATCCTCAACTCGGGGAAACAACGTTGCGTGGGGAATTTGAGGAAGGTTGACTATACCAGAAAATAAGTTTTGAGAGGAAGAAAAAAAGATAATAAACATAACAGTCTCCCTAAGAATGTTCTGTCTCATGCATTTTGCAAAACTGGAAAAGGGGGCTCAGCCTACATGGACGGTCAGGGTTTCTCTTTCATGACACCACATCCTCTCACACATGAACTAAAAAAATCCCATTTCCTTTTTTTTTCTTCTTTAAACCACAAATTATGAAGAACCAGAGCTTTGTTTTTTGTGGGTTTGCTTGTTGTTGCTGGGGAGGAAACAAGTGGTGATATGACCAATGTATGTGTGTGTGTATGTGTATATACATATACATATATATATAAGTTCAAACTCACAGCTATATACAATTTCATTTTTTTTATTTTTACAAAGTTTCTTAAATATAGTTCAGGCTGGCAAAACAGCTCTTTGCACAGAATCTTATTGGTTTTGTTTTTCTGCATAGTCAAGTCTTTTATTTTAATAATAAAATTCTACATTTTTCCTTACAACTCTTTAGGTATGCTGGGTAAAAAAAAAATAATAATAAAAGAACGCACAGATACTCTCTTTGCTTACTTTGAGCCATCCATGGTATGGCACGTAGAGAACTCTTTTTTTTTTTTTTCCAATTGTAATCCTTTTTAAATTAAAAAAAAGTCGGAGGGCGGGTGGGCGGGCAGAGGGAGAGGAAGCTGTGGATGAGAGAGGTCTCGGGGGATGGGTGAGAAACTTTAAAGCAGCGTGGGTCGGAGAACTGTCGGCTCTTCACATTTCGTAGGGTGCAAAGACGTGGGTCTACCAGGCCAGGGAAATGTCGTCGAGGGCGGCCGGAAGAAGAGGGCTCCCGGTGTGGAGTGCCCAGGGTCTCCCAGTGTGGAGTGCCCAGGGTCTCCCAGTGCGGTGTGCACACGTTGTCTTTCCGAGTCTCTCGACGTCCGCTGCGAGAGGGAGGGGAGGCGGGCGGAGGAGAGCTATACTCGGGTGGTGGAGTGTCCGTGCGGTAAATTCGTACTGTTCTGCCCCCCACTGAAGGTGTTGAACGTGTGCAGCGGCTGCATGGCCGGCAGCGCATTGGGGATCATGGTGATGGTGTTCGGCGTCATCAATGGGATGTCGTCGGGCGAGCGGCGCAGCGTGAGCGTGTAGTCGGGGGGACAGGTGAGCCTCAGGGTGTCGTGGGCCTGCAGGGATTCACACTCGTGGTCGTGCTCCAACTGCTTCATCTGCAGGGACAGGATCTCCTCGTTCTGGATGTGCGCGATGTCGTTGGTGGTGTTCCTCTGCGGGCTGGGGCGCCGGTGCGTTTCGTGGCGCCTCTTGTCCTTCTTGTAGTAAAGGGCGGCGAAGGCCAGGATGTTGAGGAACAGCAGCGAGGCGCCCACGGCGATGGTGACGCTCAGCTCCGTGGAGTAATCGCGCTTGGTCTCGATGAGTACCGTGGTGTCCTCGGGCCCGGGTTTCTGCGCGTCCTTGGCCTGTTTCGGGCTGTTGGCGGGGGTGATGGCCGGGCGCTTGGTGGTCGGCCAGATCTTGGCCGGAGAGCGGCGGGTGCCGTAGGGGAAAGAGGTCATGTCGGGCGGGGGCACCTTGGTGGTGGTGGACACGTACTGGAAGATCTCGTTCAGGTTGTGCAGGTGGGGGACCAGCTCCAGCCAGAAAGCCACTTTGGTGGCGCGGTAGTGATCCCGCACTCGGGGTTTCAGGCCGATGTGCAGGTACAGCTGGTCCTTGGGATTGTACTTGGACCAGGCCACCTCCTCGAAGCGGTTGGGCTTGGTGTGGATGAACTTGGTGTCCTGTGGGACGGGCTGGTTTGGGTCCCTAGGAGTGGGTGACAAGAGAGAGGAATGAGAGAAACTCAGGTCTGCGCTTTCCTGTGGGTGGGGAAGACTCTAAATGCCAAGATAATTTGGATGCAGCTTGCGGCAGTTTTGTGAATGAAAAGGATGTATCCAAGCAGATACAGCCTGCTTTCATGCAATGCACTTCTATCATTTGATACTTTTTCCACACTCTTACGAGACACTTCTCAGAAGTACAAACGACCCATCGATCCGTGAAAACGTATCCAACATCTCTGGCCATTGCAGAAATGCAAATTATCCCAAGGCTGAAAAGATTCCATCTAATTCCAGAAAGAATGGTCATCTCAAAAACAGTAAATAACGTCCTGGGTGTGCTGCTGCACCCCTGTTATCCTAGCACTCAGGAGGCTAAGGCAGGAGGATCACCATGAATTCAAACCCAGCCTGGGCTGGAGATTTAGCTCAGTGTCACTGCCACCTGCCTGAAAAGCACAAGGTCCTGAGTTTGATCCCCAGTATGAAAAACAAACAAAACAAAACAAATAAACAACAAAACAAAGACACAAAACAAACCTCAAAGCTGGACTGGGCTATGTCGTGAGCTCAAGTCCAGCCTGAATGACATTGTTAGACCCTGTCTCAGAAAATAAATGGAGAGAAAAGAGAAATCAAATAATAACAAAAGCCATGGAGTCTTTGGGGAGAAAGCAACCCTGACACACTCTTGGTAGTAATGGAAAGTAGTCCAAGCACTTTCAATACCGAGATAGATATTCCTAAAATAACTAAATATAGAAATCCCATTCTGACAAGATGTTCCTCTTCTGGGTATGTTCCCAAGAGAATTAAGGGTATCGTATCACAGCGATTCATGCATAATTATGCTCACAGCAGCACAATTCATAATACTAAACTATTTGAAGCAGCCTATGTGTTCATGTTCATTAACAGATGAACAGATTGAACAATGTGGTATTTATACAACTTGGACTACTACTCTGCCACAAAAAGATAAACCTGAGTCATTTGTAGAAAAGTGGAGGCATTTTGAGACCACAATACTGAGTGAGTAAGTCAGACACATACGATGAAATCATACATAGTTTCTATAACAGAGGAATGGTTTTTAAAATGTGGTATTTATACAATGTGGAGTACTATTCTGCCATAAAAAAGATTAATTTGAGTCACTTGTAGCAAAATGGAGGCATTTTGAGAATACAACACTGAATGAGATAAGTCAGACAAATAAGCCTAAGTATAACATAGTTTCTGTTCTATGAGAAACGCAGGACATGAATAAAGAATGGCATAAAATAGAGATAATAGTAAGAAATGGGGACATAAGTCTTTTAGAAATGGGAACAGAAGGAAGAGAGGAAGGGGGGAGGCAGAAGGAAGTAGCATGAAGACATGCTGTGTACATGAAACAACTCCCTTGAAAAGTGTAAATTTTATGCATCGTCAGCATGTATTCATAAAAATAAAAATTTTGAGGAAGACGTCTTCAAAAAACAGCAAATCTTAAGCCTAGCATGATGGCATCTTCATTACATTTTCCCTGTGTTTTGCATTCACCAGTGCATGTTCAAGAATGATAAAGGAAAACTACATGCTTCTAGGAATATTTTCAGGATTTCATATCCTTTGGAAATATACTTCGTTCTTTCACTAGAAGTGAAAGAAAAGAAAGGAAGAAGGAAAGAAGGAAATAAAAAGATGGATAGATGACAGGTCACAGAGAGATAAAAATAGGAAGGAAGATAAGCTTTACAATGACAAATTATAAATACATGCATGAGTCTTTTGATCCTTATTTCAAAGGGTACTAAGCACATATTCAGACATATTTTAAAGGCTGAGTGAGAAAAAAAAGTCAAGCAACATTCCATGAAATATAAGAAGTCTGGTACAATGGCACTTTTAGATATGGTGATGTTTTTGTCCTGTCCGCACTACAAAAAATCACCACGCACGGAAGTGTGCATTAGTCTGGGTCCTAAGTGTGCTTGACACCTATGAGACAAAGAAATTATCTCATTAATTGGCTCGCAGTAGCAAAGGCAGGCTGAAGGAGAATCAGCAAGTTTTACAGATAACCCACAAAACTGAGCAACTCTGGGCAGATGGCTATTCTCATGTCTTCTGTTCATTGTGACAGTGAGTTTAGCTGTAAAACAGCTCGTCATATAGGTTATAAGGATTTTGAGATGATGTGTGACCCAGGAAAGAGCGTGACCCCCGAGACACTGACATGCTGAATTAAATATCTTGGGAGTCACAAAGCCCTCCACGGTTCCGAGTGCATTATCACCCAAATTCAAAGTCGACCTTCCTTAGCAGGGAGGTCTGGGAAATTCCTATTTCATTCCACAGTTGAAGGCCAGGAGGCAGAATGGACTCATGGAAGATTTGCCATTTAACATGCAATGCACAGATTCAGTCACACCATTTGGTTTTCCATGCTGTGAAAATAATCAATCTCATCCATCCATCAATCAATCTTTCAACAATCAATTTTTTGAATTTCTGTGCTCTCCTCCCCCACCACCACCCTGTACTTGGGATTGAGCCCAGGACCTTCATGTTGAGCTACCTACATAGTCCTTTTTATTTTATTTTTAGTATTAACTTTTTTAAAATTTTGAGACGAGATTTCACTAAATTACTCAGTTGCTCAGCCTGCTAAGGAACTTCCAATCCTTCAGCCTTTCAGGGTACTTAGATTCCAGATATAGATGCCAGCACATGCAGCTTTCCAGGTCTCTAGATTGTACTATGAAAGCTTGAGTAAGTTCTTCAGCCTCAGTAGGATTTACTTTACCGATGTGATTTGCCACTAAGAATATCAGGCTTGGGGGATAGAGAAGAACCTCAAAAAAGAAAACAACAACAAAAAACACCCAAGTAAAACACGTGGGGAGCAGTAAAAAGGCAAGAAAGAAATAGTAACTACCATCTTTAGATACATACATTAAAACAGTGCTAAGGAAGGAAGCCTGTGGGGTCATGATGTGTTTGTTGGCCAGTATATATATGTGGCTTTCAACATATGCGCTCCGTGTATGCAAGTATCTTGCCTATGATACATTGCACTCGAGTGCAGTGTAAGCCATTGTCTCTCTTGAAGGTTACAAAGCCCTTGATTTATGATGCAGTTGTGAACTGGTGAACATATCCTCATCTGAAAATATCTTAATAGCCAGCATCCTGGGAATACTGATCACAAACTGGCAGCCCGGGAGGGGGAGCAATGTGAAAATTCAAAAGCTGCTATGGCACGCATATTGGTTTTGTAGAACTATTCAATTAAAAGGTAGTACGTAGGACCATTCAGGATGAATCAAACCAGTATATGTGACAACCATCTGTAAATTGCAGGGTGTATAATATACGCGAGTATTCTGGGTGTTCTATTCCTTGTAGCATGTTATTCAACACCTGTATACCTTACATGGAATATATAGAAACAGACTGCATACTGTCTTTTCAGTCCAACAGTATATGTAGTAAGCTGGGCATGGTGGCTTAGGCCTGTAATCCTAGCACTCGGGAGGCTGAGGCAGGAAGATCGCTGTGAGTTTGAGACCAGCCTGGCCTACCTAGTGAGTGCCAGATCAGTCTCAACTACATAGTGAGACCCTGTCTCAAAAAACAAAAACAAAAACAAAAAAACCAACCCCCCCAAAAAAACCAAAAAACAATATATGTAGTGTCTATATTTCATGCTGTGTATAGTGTTTACAACTGCCTTGCCTTCTCTATATACTTCTTGCATTCTATTTACTGTATAAAGGTAATTTTTCTATATATAAACCTATATATGTTACAAAACCTTATACAGACAATTAAAGTTTACCTACATGGTTAAACTATGTACACGCTAATTAATGTGATTTTGCCTTCACTAATAAAATGAACACACACACATATACATATATATGAAATGTTATAGGTCTTCATATCATGAGTTTTCTTATTTAGTTACAAACATTAACATATTTAAATTCAGTTGATTATGTACAGGTACAAATTGCATAGGGTGAATATGATGCTTGTATCTCTCTAAAATGTACCAATAAAAGTTAAAAATACTAAAGTAAGATATTTGATTGTTACTTACCACTTTGGTATGTGTACACGGTTTTTGAAAATGAACGATTGAATACAATACCTCTTTTATCTTTCATCTATTTGCTGGTGTATATTTTAATTTTTTTCTTTCTTTAAGTGAAATATGGCTTGTCAAAAATTTTAAATCTGTCTTTATTGTTTTAAAAGGAAATGGAGGGAGGGGAGGGAGGAAAGGGGGATGAAAGAAGAATTGAGAAAAAAGGAGAAAGATCTTTTGCATATTGGAAAGGGAACAAGAGAGGGTGGAAAACAGGACGGAGGAAAACGGAAGGAGTTGAAGGAGTTAATGTGCGTCGTGTGCACGTACCAAGTTCCCATGACGACTGTAATTATTAGGTACTGCAAACATGCCCTTGTGACCAATGTCCAAAAAGAAAGAGGGAAAGGATTCCCATTATCCATCTCCATGGGTCTAATTCTGGCAGTCGGGACAATCTCATGGAGAACTCTCATTAATCACTGGGAACCCAGATGAGAACAGAATATTCTGGTCGTGTTGGCTGATAGGTGATGTTTGAAGGAATGCCGTGTATATTTCGGAGGTAAAGAAACACCTTTATTCTGTCCTCCAAGAAAAGAGTGCTGGGATTGGAGCACACAGAAAAAGTCAGCTTTAGCCCGATGCAGTTTATTATTCAAGTTCTTGGAGATGCACAGCGAGACTTCTTAAACCAAGATAACCTCTCAGAGATTTTGAAACCCCTCACTGTCCTCCTTGCCAAACACTCCAATGACAGGAGGATCTGTATGTGGGCTTTTGCTGTTTATATTTGAGACTATATTTCAGTGTACAAAGTGTTATAGTTCCCCTGTGCAGAATGAAGGATTATGATGAGGAACAGAGGAAAGAAATACACACAACCTTGTCTTCCCCGCAAAGAG